GGGAAAGAGCTGTGCTGAGGTTGTGACTGTGTTTTGATAAGTATCTTGTTCTGCAGAAGAAACAAGTTTCACTTCTAAGGGTTTACAGAGGACCTCAGCCTTTCACTTTTGCTACCCAGAAAACTGTGGCTGACCAGAAGGGAGTTTTCTTCCTCACCCTGCTGCACTAAGGCCCATACTCAGCAGATACCACCAAGCATGGTAGCTTTCCTTTTTTTAAGGGGTTTAATGCTGGAATAAAGTCACCAGTAAGAAAAGGTACTCATTCTATACATTCCCTTGAAATACCTCTGCTAACCCCCACTCCCTCTGAAGCCTTCATTAGCTTCTGCAATACTGACAAGCCTTTGGGAACCAGTCTTTCCTGGAAAATGAAGTCAATGCAGCAAGTCAGCTGTTAACTTTGCAAAGGTGCTGTCTCAGATAAGAGCTTGCATGAACTATGTCACAGCTACATAGCTACTGCTTTATTCAGTGGAGTTTCAAGGCATTTCAGACATTCTTAGGTCTTAGTAACTGGGGTAACTAGTATATGGAAGCAGGATTAAATTTTATTAGCTTGAAGTATCATATTTTATTCAAGTGATAAGAAATATCATAATACATTATGCATCTGCCAGTTATAGTCCATTTTAGTTGGTTCCAAAACCTAAGCAGTAAATAAGTAAGACAGTTTTATTTAGCTTAACTGAAAAAAACAGCATTCCACACAACCAGTACTGGAGGTGTCAACCGTATAGTAATTCCAGCATTATGTAGTTATGGCTTTCCAGAAAGTCATGAAGTTAACAAATTAGAACACATCAAGAGCCATTTTCCAAAGATTTATTGAAGTAGCGACAGGTTGCTCATACTGTGCTGGAAAAAGCAGTTTTATTGAATTCAGATACTTAAAAACAGTATTGCAGCACAAGATATTGCTATTTGTAAACTAGAGTCCTTTGTAAACTCTAATCCTTCAGGGAGAGTCAGTTTGCAAGATCTAAGACCTATTTCCTAGCATAATCATCTTGCGCTCATGGAAAAACTGCAGAAAGGCACTTGAAAGCTGTTTCTTCCTTTAAGACATGGACTTTTTAAATCTTGCTGGTAAGAATTTCTCCTGCATTAGTAAGTATGCATCTTCACTTCAGCTTTACTCCAAGTCATCATGATGCTGGGAAGTTTCATTAATAACCTGTTGAAAAAACAGAGACACTTGCATTAAGTTTTAGTAGTAGGACTGTTGGGTTTTTAGAGTTAGAATTGGAACACCCAGTACCACAGAGATGTGAACAGACCAGTATCAACTCTCATCACAGAATGTGTCGGGTTGGAAGGGACCTTCAGAGGTCATCTAGTCCACCTCCCTACAGTGAATAGGGACATCTTTAACTAGATCAGGTTGCTCAGAGCCCCATCAAGTCTGACCTTGAATGTCTCCAGGGATGGGGCATCTACCACCTCACTGGACAACCTGTTCCAGTGTTTCACCACCCTCATAGTAAAGAGCTTCTTCCTAATGTCTAATCCAAATCTACCCAGCTCTAGTTAAAAACTACTGCCCCATATCCTATCACTACATATCCCTCTAAAAAGTCCCACCCCAACTTTCCTGTAAGCGTCCTTCAGGTGCTGGAAGGCCACTGTAAGTTCTCCCCAGAGCCTTCCCTTCTCCAGGCTGAACAATCCCAACTCTCTCAGCCTGTCCTCAGAGGAGAGGTGCTTCAGCCCACAGATCATTTTTGTGGCCCTCCTCTGGACTGGCTCCAACAGCTCCATGTCCTTCTTGTGTTGAGGGCTCTGGAGCTGGACACAGTACCCCAGGTGAGGTCTCACCAGAGCAGAGGGGCAGAATCATCTCTCAGTCTGCTGGCCATGCTTCTTTTGATGCAGCCCAGAATGCGCTTGGCCTTCTGCACTGTGAGCCCGCATTGTTGGCTCATGTCCAGCTTTTAATCCACCAGTAACTCCAGGTCCTTTTCGTCAGGGGTGCTCTCTATCACATCAACCCCCAGCCTGTAGTGATAACAAGGATTGACCCTACCCAGGTGCAAGACCCTGCACTTGGCCTTGCTGAACCTCATGAGGTTCACATGGGCCCACTTCTCCAGGTCTCTCTGGATGACATCCCATCCATCTGGCATGCTGGCCTCACCAGTCAGCTTGGTGTCATCTGCAAACTTGCTGCAGATGCCCTCAATCTCACTGTCTATATCATTGATGAAGATATTAAACAGCACTGGTCTCAGTATGGACCCCTGAGGGACACCACTTGTGACCATGTACATCTGGTCATCGAGCCATTGACCACTACCCTCTGGATGTGACCCTCCAACAAATTCCTTATCCACTGAACAGTCCATGAGAGAAGTCCAAGAGAAGTTCTAGTTAGTAAATAGCATGCAGGAACCATTTAAGTTTCACTCACTTAAACTGAAAACAGTATCTTGCCACAAATAAATGCCTCTGTTACTGCCACTTATTTTTCTCAGGTGACATGAGAAATCTTTTGAGAACTTGCTAACTCAGCTGTACTTAAGTATACACAGACAGTAAAACCTTGAGTGGCTGACAGCTATCAGATGAATTTTGTGATTGTTTCCACAGAATTGTTTGCTACATCTGTGTTAAGCCATGTAGCTTGGACTGCCAGATGCTGTTCTACTCAAAACATACTACCATATACAGGCTGCACTGACCAGTAGACAAACTTAGAGTACTTTAAGGTAATCAGCTGTGACAGAAATAAAATCAAAGTTACCACCAACCTGTCCATCTCTAGTTTCGACAGTCTTAATTAGAAGTGTCCTCTTTGAGTGAGTGTCAACCATTGGCTGAGACTCAATGTTGGTTTCTGCAGAAGAAAATGCATTATTACCAATAGTCTAGATTAAGTGCCTCCTCAAAGACATGAAATATAAGATTTTTATTGTCTACTTGAATCCCAACTTAGCATACAAAGAAGTGCACAGGAACAAAGGAGGTCCTCCCACCCAAGGTTAAGTAATTGCAAATACTGCAGTTATATTTAAGAAAAACAGTCACACAACTGCATTTATACAAGTTCAAATACTTGAGTAAGAGAAACTACCCAGGACTTTCTGCTAATGATAGAACAGCTGTCTAAACCGAAGTAACAGAAACAGCTTACCTCTCAGGTTCAAAGAAGCAAAAGTTGGAATAGGCATGTTAATCCTGAAGGAAAAAAGAGAAATGGATATTCAGAGATGGGTATAGAGTGTCTTTTAGTAATTGCTGTTAGACAAGTGTCTGCATGTGATTTTTACCTGCTCTCTTCACCCTCCAGCAGTTTTCTGTAGGTGGCAATCTCAATATCAAGAGCCATCTTTACATTCAGCAGGTCCTGGTACTCGCGGAGATGGCGAGCCATTTCTTCCTTCATGTTCTGAATCTCATCCTGCAGACGGCCAATAGTGTCTTGGTAGTTAGCAGCTTCAACAGCAAAGTTATCCTCCATCTCACGCATCTGGCGCTCCAGGGATTCATTCTGGAAGAGAACAATGAAGTCAAGCACTGCTGCAGCTCAGCCGCTCTTTCCCACCCTCAAGACCCTTATATTTTTTTTAAAAGGGAAGTTACATTAGCATCCTTTCTAAAAATGCCCAGACATGTTTTACACTTGTCATTTCTTTATCTTCCCCTTGCAAAGCCAAGGTGGGTTATTCTGCTACTTGATCTGAGGTATGCCATGTATTTGTTCTACCAGGTGGTAAAACAATCCCTTACAGGAAGTCCATCATATGCAGTATAAGTCAGCATGCAGGCAGTCCTCAGTGAGGGGATTTGCAGGTGCACTATACACCGTTAAATCCATTTCAAGCCAGTCTTTCAGGCAGTCAGGTTCTAGCAACAGCAGGATTTGCATCTCCTTTCCACTGCTCCTCTGGCTTTGTTTTTATAGCTTCAGCTGTACCTGGCACTCAAGCCATAAACACTTCCACAAAGCGTTACGTATACAGTGAGTATTATAACAAGGGAATGAACTCTTTTTTTTATAGCTTAAGTAAGCCTAGTTCTGTGTATCAATCTAACTAGTGCACTGTAGTGCACATAGGCAAATTGAGCCCATTGCATCCTTTTCAAAAAGTATTAATAAACTGCTGCACTGCATGGGAGATCAACTGCATTCACATGTGTATCAACAATTAAACTGAGTGCAGTACTTAAAGCTGCAAAGGGAAGAAAGTCCAAACAACTGCTGTCTTCTACTTACGCTTCCCTTGAGGGCATCAACTTCGCAGGTGAGAGACTGAATCTGTCTGCGATATTCGTTAGCTTCTTGTTTGGCCTGGCGCAGGGCATCATTGTTCCTGTTAGCAGCTTCAGAGAGATCTGCAAACTGTGGAAATCCCCAGCTTGGTTAGCCTTAGCACTTCACAGAAATCGTATAACAGACTTTTTTTGGACACAACATTTGAGGGCAACTAAAGCCATTACAAGCCTTAATATGTGAAACATTTAAATACTAGCATGACTCTTAAAATGCCTTCTATTTCTAATTGTTACAATGGAATTCATAGTTAGAACTTTCACATTTCTTCCCCCACCCCATGTGTTTCCCATCTTTTCATCATTTTTTCACCCATTCATTCACTCCTTCCTCCAGTATTTCATTCAACATCTGCTTCCAGACACAGGCATAGGAAAGACTCCAAGTATGAATCCATTTCTTTGATGCTGTACTTATGGCACAAAATGTTTTCAGCTGTACCGTGTTGGTGTCCAGTAGAGAAACAAAGGCAGTGTGCTACAGCAAAGCTGTCGTGTACAGTTAGTTCAAGCGCCTGATGCATCTGAACAGATTTTACTTACTTTGGACTTGTACCACTCCTCAGCTTCCTGAAGATTCTTAGCAGCAACGCTTTCATACTGTTGGCGAACATCACGCAGGGCAGCAGTAAGATCAGGCTTAGAAACATCCATATCAATTTGGATGTGCTGTTCCTGGAGTTGGGCCTGCAGCTCTCGGATTTCCTTAGAGAGAAGCAGACACGCAGTGCTATTACACGACAACATACAGAACATACAGAGGCAGAGAGTCTGGGCCCAAACCAGTGAAGAGTTTACTTGCTCACTAGAGTCTCAGCATCGCAAACCTCATTATTCAGCTTACCTCATCGTGAAGCTTCTTCAAGAAGACAATCTCCTCTTGCAGGGACTCAACTTTGCGCTCAAGATCAAGGCGTGCCAGAGAGGCATTGTCAACATCCTGGCCAGAGAGAAGAAAGATTAGCAGTCTTACAAAACTGATGTAGAAAAGTCTTTTATGGCAAGTTCAGTAGCATACAGACTGATGATACATCTGAGTTTTTTGGCACAACAATATGAAATCAAGAGTTGTGAAAAAAACCTTTTTTGCCACCTCCTACCCTAGCCTCAGAGATCACTACCTGGCACCTTTATTGAGATTTTGGGAAATATGCAGTGTACATAGATTACTTCATCTTTGCCAAAATATGGCTGAGCATGATCAGTAGCACACAGATCATGGTAGGTGTAAAAACTGCTTGAAGTTGAAGCAGGTACTTGGATCAGAAGCCAGAAATAAACTCTTTTAGCTTGACCACACTGAAAAAGCATTAGTCTCAGTTTGCAAACTTCAGTTTTTTCCAATGGAGCTTAAAAGTGCACCCCATGTGACTACCAGCCTATCAGTGGGCTTTATTTCTTGTTTATTGCTTATGGACTCCTTGGTGATCAACCACAGAGCCCTCTGGGTCCACAGACCACAGCATGAAAGCATACTTGTAAAGCTAGTGAGGTACATACAGGAACTGCGAGTATTTACTTCTCAAAGTGGTTCAACAGATCTCTCTTGAGAAAAAGAAGGTATGAACATAAATGCAAATAGAGTTATTCATCATTGCCTACACCCTCACAGTAGCTGGCAAAGACTCCACCTTTTGCTGGACAGAGATAGTCTTAATCAACAGTAAAAATTCATTTAAGGCATAACAGAAGATATGCCATGAAGGTTACATGGGAGCAACTTAAATTATGTTTTTTGAAGTAATTCAAGACTAAACATTGATTGGTAACTTATATTTTAAATGTGCAAGACAATTTGTTTGCAAAGGGGACAACTGTTCCTTTCATACTGGTTATATACACAGCTGTATGCTTGTGTTCACATGGTATTAACATAGCAGGTTTTCACAGCTTACTCTAAAGCTATTTTGGATTGCCCAAAGCATAAGCATTCCTACCCAAAGGTGCCATAATAGTGAGAACTGCTGAAATAAGGAGTGTTTTCTTTAGACTCCTAGAAAGCCTTGGATAACTCCTACTCAGGGGTCAGGTTCTCACTCCAGAAGAATTCTCGTTTTCTGTATCCAGCAGAACAGCCCTTTGATGTGTTATTCCATAACTTCCCTATCGATTCCAGTTTTACACCCACACAGTTCATATCGGCTGTGTTTTTCAATTCAGAGAGAATTCCTTAATTCATTTGTTCTCCCCCCCAAAACTTGAAGATCATTCTGGAAGGAAATTACATGGGTATGACTCAACAGGTTTACACAACTGGACTGACATTTGAAGCTTCCAGTGGATTTTACATAAATCTGCATCCTGAAGACTATTATTTTTTCAGGACAACTGAACACCTCCAGGATTTTTAGTAGCTTATAATAAATTGAAATAATCTTAAATTGAGGACACTTGGAATATATAGTATGTGTTTTACTAGACATTATCATTAAGCTACTGAGCGAAGAATCAGTGTATCTGTATTTCCTACATGTATGGAGATCCACATAAATTAATAAGCTACTTGTAGCCTAAGCAAACAAAGTGTAAGGCATACATCCATGCAATTGGACTAAGTATTGATTTTATCTTAAGAGATTCTTTAATGCCAGTCATTTAGTTTGCAGGGTTTGGCATCCATGCTTGCTTCAGACAAAACTGATGTCAGCCCAGGGCAGACCTGTTAGCCTTATCATGGGCTCAGGATTCCCTGCTGCCAGAGTAGCTTGCAAAGCTGCAGTAAATAACTTTCTCACTAACTGTGATGCTTGTTTTGTCCCAAAGGAAAGAACTGACTGAACCTTTAGGTTTATTTTCAGTAGTGATTTTACTCATATGCTGAGGGGTGTACATCTTTGTTCAGGAGAATTAAAATTCAGCTCATATGAGTTGAACAGCCTCAAAAGCAAGCAGCTTTTTGGAAAAAGAAAGTTCAAATATTTATTCACTTTCTTTTAAAATACTGAAGTATACAACTGCTCCCTCAAGTAAAAAGTAAATTTGATGCTACATCAGAACAGTAAAGTGTCTGCTGAAGTGTTCTAAATCCATTTATGCAGCTTCCCAGTGCAAGAAAATAATGGCTTAATAAAAAGCTCTGCATTTTTTTTTATTTATTTTTTTTACAATTAAAAGCACGGCAGGATGTTTCAGCTTCAGTGTTCTATGAATTTTGTTTCACTTGCAGAATACTCACACTGGAACAGATTTACTTCAAGCCTGCATGTTAAGCCTACCCTTTCACAGCAAGGAAAAATTAGGTATTCTGTTGTTCAGATCAAACACACCAGCATGCACCAGTTAGGTCATGAGCAGATTTAATGCAGTGTTTCCACAAACAATTTGCAATTCTCCTGCATAAGCTACACCTTAAGAGGTTAAATGCAGTACAGTTCTGACTGTACTGCACACGCAGACCTGCTGGAGGCTCAGCTCCTGAATGACCCCTTTCCATAAAGGGGGGAAGAGTCGGATGAGTGTGGGATATGCACAAAGCCAAGCTCACTCAGAAGCCTAGAGCCTTCACGAAGTTTAATTGGTTTTAAATAGAGGTAGACATGCCTTGAAACGCACCAATTAACTATGGAAGATCATTTAAACCAGCCTTAAGTCAAAGGATCCTTCAACTGAATTCAGCCATGAACCAGAATAGATTAGGTTCTCTAAAACTTAAGTTAAATGCTTCTGCATGGAACTCTACAGTACATTAAATTGACTTAGCACTCAAAAAAGCCAAACCCAAAGTTAAGGCAATATCTCCAACTGTTCTGTTTCAAACTTCCGTCTCTAGAACACCAGCAGAGACTTTGAATTCCCAGACTCCAAATGGTAGTAGGTGCCTCCGTTTCCACACATTATCTCATGAAGACACTTGCTCTCCTTCAGAGACTATAAACACACTGTAGTCAAAAGCCTTGCCCAGGGAAATGCTAACAATCAAGTGACCATTTCCTGAACTGTGACATCTACTACCGCCTGTGAAGAGCTTTGGGATGAAGTCAGCCTGTGCCCAGCTGTCTGGAGATAAGGGCAGTCTCTTCCAGCTGGGAGGAATGCTAGCAATGCCCTTCCACACCAGCAGTTTTAGGGAACAAATCTTGTTTTGAGAAGGTACATTCCTAAATATCTCCTAGTCCAAACAAGGCTTAATCCAAGTTGAAAGCTGGTTTTGCACAAGTGAAAACCTGAGCTTAACGCTTTCTGAACACTGTTTGCACAGCTGGTTCTGGCTGTCACATAGGTTTTGGTTTATCTGAATAACATCGTCGTTTCCTACAGAGACTAAACTCTAATGCAACTTGTGTCTTGTGTTAACATCTTAGTTTACAGAGGATTAAATTCTGTTTTTAACAGACATCCAGAAGAGACAGACTTGACTGCTGAGACCTCATCCTGAGGAGCAAACTTTCTGATTCTTGTCAGCAGACACCACCCATATGAAAAACTTTAAATTTGAAACCATTGTCCAGTAATGTACTGGCCAAAGGGATTCATTAAAAGGGAGCTGTTTTGTATAAAAAAACTGGACCATAGACATGATAGACACTTTTTACTAGAAATATGCCCGCACCATTACACATTTAGTAAGAATGCAGCCCACTGCGCCCTCCCCTCCGACACAAAGGGATCTATTATTTCAATCTGCTGCCACCACACTTGCCATAATGCCTGTATCTGCATTCCGCGGTGAATCCCATAGAAACCATTAATACCCTTCAGCCAAGCGAGCAGATGGCCCCCTTTCACTTTTATTGGATCGGAAAGCGATTCCACATCGAAGCGCTTTTTGTACAACAGGCTAGACTTGGATAATGCAAGACAATAGTTTTCACCTCCCCACTCAGACCGCAGCACCCCCTAAAGAAAACAAGGAGGCTTTGCGTGAGAACTGGTGAACTCCTTTGTGCGAGGAAAGCAAACTTCTGCAGTCCCACC